TAGGGCCTCTTACTGAACAGGGTTAGGGCCTCTTACTGAACAGGGTTGTAGCTGGAGAAGGAGATCAGGCCTCCCCAGGCTATGCTGAAGGCGTAAAACACCTGAGCTCCTGCATCCAGCCAGGTGGTGGGGTTACTCAGCTCCTCCACCTGCACGGAGGGGGGAGAACCATGGTGAGGAGCAGACGTGGAGGATGACACTTTCTTTTATTCTTCAGAAGATTTAACCCTTTATAGCCCGATCCAAGAATAAAACAAAACAGAAAATTACTTTTTTTTTGGTTTGAAGTCCATATTTGGGCTTTAAACAAAATATGTAAAAAGAAAAAACAGAAATACATTTTTAATATTAATAATTTAAGTCCAGATTATTTTTAGTGTAGTCTTCTGCCCCCTGTTATCAGGTGTATCTGATTGTGTACAATAGGATTTTGAGCAAAGTTTTTACCATTAAATTATGCAAAAGGAGTCAGACGCAAAACATTTCAGAAACCGTATGAATCAGATATGACACATTTGGCATTACAGGGTTAAGACCTACATCTGGAGTGAAGAGGAACTTGATTCCGCTCAGTGAGCCTTTGAGGGTCAGCCCCCGGATGAGGAAGATGGCCAACACGATGTAGGGCAGGATGGCCGTGACGTACACCGCCTGGACCGGAAACAAGGTAGGAGCTCACTGTTAGAACTTAAACTGTTAGAAAATAAACTTCTCAAGCTCACTAGGGGCTAAAATGATGGACCCTGTTGTCTACTTGTCCAATCCAACGCTCATGCTAAGATATTTACTCTCAACATGTCGTTCAAAGGTTTTTCTGCATGTTTCTGTCCACAGTTTCTGTTTAAAATCACTATTTCTTGGGTTTCTGTAAATAACTTCAGAGTAGGTCTGACCTGCTCTGTTTGGAAAGCTGTGAGATAAATGTTGTTGTGATTTTATACTATATAAATTAAATTGAATTGAATTGAACGATTCTAGTTTTCTGACCATCTCCCCCCTGGGACCCTGGTAATTCATGGAGACTGAAGAATGAGAATAGATCGATGGGGGAAGACCATTTTAACCTCGCCGTCATTTATCCAATGTCATGAAGGTAGATTTTCTTATTATATGTCCAATTTATCTAACTTATCTCATTTATGTCTATGTCTGCATGGGAAAGCAAGAAACGAAATTTCAATTCTTTGTATGACCAACGCATGTAAAGAAATTGACAATAAAAGCCTACTTGACTTGACTTGAATTTGATTTACTGGGACTGTGCTAATTATAAGCTAAGGCTATTTATTTCACCAACAGTCTGGCTGCAGCAGGAGGATATGGCGAGTATTTTAGGGTTAATCCACCTTTCCTGAAGTGCCTATTCCCCGTATGTAGGCGATACAGATGAGAGTCCAGGCGGCCAGCAGACAGACCACCACGGGCCACTGCAGCCCCCCGGAGTCAGATATGGAGGTGGAGCTGTTCAGGGTCACTCTGTAGAAGTAGAAATCCACCGTGGAGCTCCTCTGGCACTCGGAGATAAATCCTGATCAGAGAAAGGATTCTCTGTTATTCTGAGCAGATCTGTGGGAGCGATAGCCTCATAATACAGTGGGGGAAATAAGTATGTGACCCCTTGCTGATTTTGCAGGTTTGCCCACTTACAAAGAATGCTTATTTTTCCTCATCAGATGGTTATCAATTTGTATAAATTCATATGATGTGATTTTCTGGAATTGTCTTTGGGATTCTGTCTTTCACTGTTAGAATGTACATATGATTAAAGTTATAGATCGTTGCATTCTTTGTAAGTGGGCAAACCTGCAAAATCAGCAAGGGCTCAAATACTTATTTCCCCCACTGTAGATAATGTGTTCATGCTGCAACAGACCTGTCTTGTTGTCATTGAGAGGACACTGGCTCCAGGGTAGTGGATCTTGAAATGAGTTGAAGAGGTACCACATGATCCAGGCTATCAGGGTGTTGTAGTACAGCCCGATCAGTAGGGACACCAGCATGGAGGCCACGCCTGGGGTTACAGACTCGTTAGGGAATTACATCACTCTTACAGGAGGTGGGAGGCCTCTGAAACCCACCGATCCCGGTGAGGTAGGGGCTGATGGCCCTCCAGACCCCCACGCTGCCCTTCCTCAGACGCTGGCCGATGGCAAACTCCAGCAGAAGGAGAGGCATCCCCTCCAGAACCAGCAGGATCAGGTACGGGATCAGGAAGGCTCCTGGAGAGGGTCAGGAACACTTACAACTACTGGAAGAGGGTCAGGAACACTGTGTAGTCACACTGACTCTGAATAGGCTGCTCCCCTTAAGCTAGTTCAGGCCTCAGATCTGTTTTTGGGTTGTTTATGAATTATTTAATCTCCCAAACACAGACAATGTAGTAAAAAGAAAACAACTATTTTTGCAGTTTAAGTTAGGTAAATGTCTTGCTTTTTGTTTTCGACCCTCGAAAATTCTACTGAGGTCATTTTAAAGGTTTGAATTGTCCATTATAGATGTTTTAAATCTCTTAAGGGCGTCTCTGGATGGGTGTTTTGAGTCATCCTGGTGGTTATGCAATTCTTTTATTTGTTTATAGCCCATTTTTGTTGTTTTAGGTGTTTTTATTGTAATCTTATGTACAATTTTCATTGGTTGGAGAGCTTTTACTCTCGATAAGTGTTTTTAATTTGTTATTGCACAACTCTCTAGTTACTTTCTCTCTTGGTTGTTGGATATATAATCTCTTGTTGTTTTTGGCTCATTTTCTGGCTCAATGTTTGTTTAGATCTTTTGAATGCAAAACATTGGTCCAAACTTAGTGCAACCCTGAACTATCAATTTAACCAAATCTCATTATCAAAGATACCCAAAGAATAAACTATCCATTTGCTCTTTACATAATTATTCCAAGTTGGTCATGGGGAGCTGGAGCCTCTGAATCTATTACATGTTTATGCCATGTTACACAGCAATAAGTCTTATTAGAGTTCTTCATCAGGATGTCAACATCAAGTGATTACAATGGAATATTGTTATTTTATTCCAATACGTCAAAGCTTAGTAATAATAATTGTGTCACTGCTGAACAGGAAAATTATGTTGCTTATACCATCGATCATTTCAGTTTTTGCCATGTCAAAAAGAAAATGGACATTTTTCAGACCTGTGCTCTGAGATTTAGCTTTTGAGTATTTTTTCATTTTGTCATTCTTTTGTATAGGAAAGACTAATAGAGAAGTATCTATTGGCTGATATAATTAAAAAAAAATCTAAATCTAAAATAGTAGATGCAAACCCCCCCAATCTCACGCCTAACGTGTGACTCTCAGCTTACCTCCTCCATGACTTTGACACAGATAAGGGAATCTCCACACATTTCCAATTCCGATGCAGAAGCCCACACAGGTCAGAATGTACTGGGCCTTGTTGTCCCACTTGGGCCTGTCTCCAGTCTCCTCCTTCTCCATCCTCTCCAGGTCTTCATAGCTGTGGATCCGGAGCTCCAGGCCCGGGTTCGGAAGTACCAGCCTCATGCTGCGTGATCTAAAGGGGAAGTCAGACTGAGTGTTGGGCTCAAGCTCATAGCGAGATAGAAACCAGTTTATGATCTTCTACTGATTCTGTTCAAGATTAACAGGTGCACTCTGCCCCATTCTTATATTCTAAGCCAATTCAATCAAACATTAAACATACGATACAAAGACACCGTGTCTCCTCACATTGAGGAAATCTTTTCCTTGAGCCCACAAATTCCACACGTCTGGATTCCTCATTGTTTTTTTTTAGGTTTGGTCACCTTTTGAGCTTCCATATCGATCTATCCGCCGGCTGAATTAGCTTTAAAGGTGCTATGTTATTGAGGACTTTATCAGTTTGAAACTTTATCACACGTCATTTAGTGTCAAACATCAAACGGTTATTTGTAATGCGTAATAAAGTAGGTGAGTAAGGGATAATAATAATAATCATAAATTTCATGCCACTCAAGGACACTTTAGAAAGAAAACATACAAAGTCATAAATGCATCATAAATAAAAACATCATAAATGAATGAAATAAAATGGAATGAATAAACCTGTGCGGAATGAGGGGAATGTCAGAGTTAGGGGGGGTAAGAAATGTTAAACAGGTGGGTTTGGAGTTTCGTTTTTCAAAGAGGGAGAGAGTGGGTGTTTATTCTTTGAAGGTAGAATAACAAAGATGAAAGTCAACAGTCAATTTCTCCTTGGAGATCAATAAAGTTTCTCTCTCTAGTTTACTCTTGAACCTGGAGATGAGCGCCTTGTTTTGGGGTCTGGTGCATCATTTTCTGACACCAAACACCGAAAAAAGACAGAAACTGTGAACTGAAATGTGTTTGCTGCTCTGCTGTGAAAACGTAAAGAACGTCATCTTTAGGAAACCTGCTCATTTATGTGAATATGTGTAGGTTTATTCATCCATTTGGTTCGTCCTGCTGTGTTTTAGGCTGGATATCATGCATATGACTGGAAAGTCAAACAGAAATGTCCGACCCCTTAATGCTGGTGGGAGCTCACACAGTGTAAAATGCGTGGGTCCTAACAGGGAACCCTGAGGAGCCTCACAGTGAACTGCAGCATTTGCTTCCTATTCAATATTTATTTGGAGGATTGTGTCACAGACTCTAAAAAGCTTTCCAAGACCTGTTATCATCTTCATTTAATATATCACTCAGGGTCACATTTATAAGGCCACCCAGAATTTCTAATCCCAAAAAAGCCCCAAAAGAGTTTCTCTAACTCTAACATAGTTTTCAAGCTCCACTTCTGACTGTTTGTGAAACAATCTTTTTTAATCATGTTCACTTTTGTAACTTCAAACTGTCTGTTTTATTTCTTCTAAGAAGAACGAGTCTTTCTTTGACATCTTATCAGCTGTCTGTTACCAGTTAAACGTTTGTTTTATAGTTTCTGTAATGTCATTGCCCTGTAAAAAGCATTTACACACATCCAGGCTCAAATTCATAGAATGTGGGAGTCGTTATGCTCTCTCCACCACCTCTTACCCACTGCCTTATGATGAAAGCATCACTTTACGGGCAATGTGCAGCTCAGTATCTGCTCAAGGACAAGTCCACATGTGGGAAGCTGAGGAATGAATCATCAACCTGGCTTTTGGCACACATCTACTGAGACTCCTCAACCACACCACACACACTTTAACATTCTCTGTATTATTTTGATGGTTTTTAAACAGGAAATTATGTTGTTTTTTTTTTATCCCAAAAGCAGACGCAGCTAAAGTTGTACAGTCAATCTCTGTTCAGCGGTTTAAAACAAAAAATGGGTTTTCTACTCATTATATTCCGAATATTAGCCGTGGCTATAGATGTTTTCTAATTAGAATATAACTTTTATATTTATATTACAATAAGAATTTGACAATTCTTATTGTAATATAAACATGTATTATAATTTAACATTTGACTTTGCACAAGATTCTTTTGGATGAAAATGCAACAGCAGCTTCTGTCAAAGATGTTAAGACTAAAGTTAATTATTTTTACAGTTTTATGTGGTCTGCCTCATGCAATAAAAGTCTAAATAAGTCTTAGAAAGAACTGTGTAGACGTCATGTGGACCTGTATGTCAAGTGCAGGTTCATGTCACATTTATCAACTTAATTATGATTGATTATAAGTTAATAAAATAGGTAGGAAGAGACAAAGTTCAGTCTTGCTGGAAAAATGATCAAAGAGAAGTTACCCATTAATAGTTTTTATGACACCTAGAGCTCACAGTAAAACTATTAATTTACCAAAACCACTTGTACTTGTATTTGTTTATTAATTATTGTTAGTACCATAATAGTTATTTACATTAGCACAATCCTTGTTAGGAAGAACCGTGGGGTTCTGATTGGACGCTGGAGGTCCCAGACCTCTCTTTGGTTTCCGGTTCCACTCCCTCCAAAGAACAATGTTCAATAACAACACACGTTTGTAGTATTCTAATAAACTTGTTATAAAAAGATACCGTCACCGATATAAATAAAGTTTTTAAGTGAAGTCTGTGCCAGTGTCGGCTGATAGGAAAATCATAAGAGTATAAACAGAATGTTGATAAGTGAGAACCTCTTAATCTCCCCTTCAGTCACCATTTCTGACTGTTATGGACCAAATATTATTTCTGGATACATATCAAATCACCATGGATTACAACTGAGTGCACACACACACACACACACACACACACACACACACACACACACACACACACAT